TGAATCGTCCCAGAAGACAAAAACTTAGCGATGGAATTGCTTGTTTTAAGAAAAGCTAACAGCTTATAACAAATACATATGTATGTTCAAAATAAATGTTTGAAAGAAAAAAAAATGAACGTAATTTTTTTAATGATTTACTTAGTTTGGTGGTTGTGCATTGCATTTTAACTACCAATACGAATTTTCATTAATCAATAATAACTTTACTTGTAATGCAAATGAAATTTCCTTATCAGTAAAAATTTACTGCTTACTGTTATTTAAATAAAACATGATTTTATGAAGGAAAAACGTGATACATATTTTTATTCAACTTCTTTGTTTTATGCAAGAAAGGATCATCTCAGTCCAACTTTTCTCACTGCATTTGAGCAATAATATTGACAACAGAGTTTGTAAACATACCAATTGGAATGAGAATGTATGAGTAATAGAAACTATCAAAACCTTTTTTTAATACATATACCAAAACAACAAAAGGTACTCACATATTCTTTTTTCTTTTTGCTGCTTACTGCTATTTTTCAGTAATCAGTAAAAATTACTGCTTACTGGTATTTTTCAGTAGTCAGTAAAAATGTACTGCTTACTGCATTTTTTTTTCAGTAATCAGTAAAAGTTTACTGGTAATGCAAGGTAAATTTCATTATCGGTAAAAATGTACTGCTTACTGCTGTTTTTTTCAGTAATCAGTAAAATTGTACTGGTAATGCAAAGTAAGTTTCATTACCAGTACAAATTTACTGGTTACTGCATTTTTACTGGTAATGCAAAGGGCTCATCTATGGTAAATATATAATAAATGAAAATAGTTTTTTCCTAAAAAATCCAAGTTTTATTCATATTCCAACACATTTTTCACCGATACAAATATTGTTTAATTAATTTCACATTAAAACAATGCATTTTGTATGCAGTGTCAATTTGGCACTGTAACAACGAATTCGTTTGGAAAAATTACATACGGATGAAGGGTAATAGAATAAACTTTTTATCAAAACATATCAGTATCCAGATCACTGGAAATATCAACTTATCCTCACTATAATCACTTAGCCTCAGTAAATTCCACTGCGTGGGGATTATATCAAGATCGCAATCTATGAGATGGGTAAACTTTAACAAAAGTGGTCAAATTGGTAAATCTTCTATAGAAACTACCTTAGCTGGTGTTATTATTTGTAAAAGTTTTCTATCTTCACGCTTTAAATCAAATTTTAAATTTATTTGGTCCAAAAACTCTATGCAAAACCTTAATATATTGGTTTTAGCTTCAAGAATTCCAGAATAATTGGCATTACTTTTCATAAACATCTCAGCTTTTGTTCCAACAAAAATATGAGATATTTTAATATAACTATTTTCATTTTTAAAATCAACATAAGTATTGTTACTGATCGCATCCTTTTTAATAAAGTTACTCAAAATTAACAGATAATGTGCTTTGATAGTTGCATATAAGTATGGCAAACGAGAGCTTTCAGCTTGGAACTCTTTGCTAAGATTGTTAATTATGGGCAAAATATAATAGAAATAAACAGCCCTGTTCTACAATCCGAGTCGGAATCGTATTGGAATCGGAATTCAATTCCGTCTCGGAATTTAAATGGTGTTCCACAATCCGATCGGAACTTTTGCTTCGAAGTTAATATCGAATCCGGTTGTAGAAAAGGACCAAACTTTCTACTTGTCAATTGCGTTCGGAAGTGTCAAAATTCATTTGAAGAAATTAAAAAGTGAAAACTAAAATGAGTTCAATTAGCTGTTTTGCTCAATAATGAGCAGCAAACAAATGAAAAAGTGAGGCAAATAATTTTGCGCGATCGCAGCAATCCCATATAATTACCGGACTCTGCGTATGTAGTATGCAAACAACTGTTTTCTCTTTTGCTATTTCAAAGTATAATTTTATATTTTACAGCTCTTTTGTCCTCCTANTTTTATAGAACATTCCGAACCCATTTTTTTGCAGACCTGTGTTATTATTCCATGTAAAATGGAAAACTATTGGAATAAATAAAATTTTATCTGTATTTTAATCAAAAACAAAAAAATACCACATAAATCACACATCATCACAAATAATCAATTTGAAACCAAAAAGTACATTGACACCACATAGACCATTTTGGTACAATTTGGAAATGCAGCGCTGTGTATATTCCGCTTGGTTTTACTTCTACTTATTTATACAAATACTTTCTTCCTTCTCTACTTTATACACATTTCGACTGAATTTGTTTTACATTACAAGGTTGTGCATTTTGCCTAACAAATGCAACTATGTCAATAAAATGCGACTCTGACCAACCACTACTTTATCGACTTTTAACGTACGCTACCTGAAAAAAAATTGAATTGTAACGACGAGTAGTAAACGAGCACGCGACAAGATAATTTACATTCTAATTGTAATTCCGCATATTTTTTCAATATAAGTCCTTTTTCATCTTAACTTAAAAACTAATCGGTTGTATATTTATTTTAAACGGACATCCTGATAAGTATAAGTCGCGGATAAGTGAACGCTAGCGAAATCTACCTATCCGCGTCAGTTCAGATATGAGATTAGCTTACTACGCCTTCGAACGTTTTGAAATTCGATTATTACAAACATAAATACAACGAAGTTAGTGAATTTAAAAAAGAAAAAACGAATAAACGAGTGTTCTATTATGTAAACGTGCGAAATATGTAAACGTTTTCAGTGAGCATACGTCTTGCCTATGATCATAACCTCACATATTGTGAGACTTTCGTGGACATCGGGGCTCCAGTGGACATACGCTTTGTCGCTGAGTTCAACGGTCCGAATTCAAATTTGCAGCTTTGTAGTTTGTGCTTACATCGTTTATCATCTTACTTCGTCCTCGCATCGTTTTTCGTTTTCCATTACACATCTTCGTTAAAGTCTTCGAAATTATGTGTATAGTTGTCCCTTACTTGTTTTGCATTTTGTCTTATGTTGCTCTTACTCATAAACGTACTTCTATGCTTGTCGCGAAAAGAAAATCTAATTAGAGAGAATTATAAAATCAAAACAAAACAAAATGCCGAATAGCAACGCAACGTTAAAAGAACTAAAAAAAATATGTAAAGATGCTGGTTTGCCTACTTCTGGCACAAAAAACCAACTTCAGCAACGTTTGAAAGAACATTTCAATGCCGCAAGTGGAAGTGATACAGAAGACGAAGTCACTATGCTACAACGCATATCACTTCTCGAAAAACCTATTGAGCGTTTGATAAATACGCAAACAACAACGAACGTTGATGCGCAAGTGACTCCGCAAGTGCAAAATTTTCAGCCGACGCTATCGTCGTCGTCAGTTTCAGCAGTGTACACGCGTACGGCTAATATGCAGCCGATAACAACAACGTCCGCGCATGTGAATTTTGTGCCGCAGTGGCAGAGGGCAGATACACGAACTGCGCCGATGCAGCAAACTGCGCCAATACAGCAAATTCCAATTGGAAATTGTGTGTACAACACATGCAATGTACCAATTCCATTGTGTAACGACTATTCGCAGTCTTCCAATAAGATAAAAGATATTGTTGAGTTATTACCGGAATTTAACCCAACAAGCGAAACGTCTTTGAACTCAATTCAATTCATTAAACGCGTGGAAATGCTAAAAAGTGCCTACAACTGGTCGGAAGGTACCATAATATTTGTGGTGCAACAAAAAATGCGCGGATCCGCAAAATTATGGATCGATTCACTACAGTGCGTCTTTGTTAATTGGGCACAGTTTATAAATAAATTTTTGACTGATTTTCCGTGTATGTATAATCAGGCAGATACGCACATAAAGCTGTCGCGAACAAAGGGCCAACAAAACGAATTGCCCGTCGAATATTTTTATAGAATGTTAGCACTCGGAAACAAAGGTGGTTTAGTTGAAGCTAGCATCGCGAGGCATATAATAAACGGTATCAATGATAACGACTTAAAGCGAAAAATATCGAACGAATATACACGGTGTCAAGATTTGTTAAAAGACATAATGAATTACAGTGTGTATAATGACGTACATCAAAGCGCGTATAAATCGAAACCGACACCATCCGCGACAAAACCGCAACCGGTAATTGCAAAAGATACCAATACTTAATCTAATATTAAGCAACCACAAGAAACAAACTCGAAGTGTTATAATTGTGCGAAATTCGGGCATATTGCTATCAATTGCCCCGAGCCAAGGAAAAACCTCGATGTTCAAAGTGTCAACGTACGACACATAAAAGTGAAGAGTGTTCTGTTTTCAATAATATAGAAAATACGGTCGTGTCCAAAAATGATGAAATAGTAAGTGATGGCATATTTAAGCAAATAAAAGTAAATGACCATGCCCCACGTGCTTTTGTTGACCGAGGTAGCACCCGCACACTTGTTTGGAAAACGTTTGCTACCTGCATAGGGTCCCTTAAAAACGAGATAACCGTGCTACGAGGCTTCGGTGGTGGAGAACACATTTCCACTCGTAAAATGAATGTGCTATTAACCATTGACGAGCAAAAGTTTGAGACAGACCTGGTGGTAATTATTGATGAACTAATATGTGAAAATGTACTCCTCGGAAAGGATGTACTCTGTAGTGCCAGTACGCGTCTAATAATAGAAAACGAAGAGTGCCGTGTCGCGCAAATTCGTAGCATAAACGTTCCAAATGGTTTGAACGAAAATCAGAATCAACAATTCGCCAACATATTGAAGGAGTACAGTGGGCTCTTCAATTAATATCGCAAATATCGGAAAGTGCGGGATTTCAAAAATGAAAATTATTTAAAAAAATAATACGCCTATTCAGTTGAAACATTATCGCACTCCTTTTTCTAAGCGACCGATAATATCGCAAATAATAGCCGAATTACTAGAAAATGGCATAATCCGTCCGAGTGGGTCACCATATTAATCTCCCGTGGTTTTAGTGGAGAAAAAGAACAAAGAACATCGACTATGTGTAGATTATCGTTGCCGTTCAGAGGGACATTTTGAATTTAACCGCATGCCTTTCGGTCTCGTTAACGCGCCGGCAACTTTTCAGTCGATTATGAACAAAATCGTGTCGAAAATGCAAACCGGTGAAGTGCTCGTATACTTGGATGATATTCTGATCCCAAGTAAGACAATCAGTGAAGGACTCTTGCGGTTAGAACGCTTCTTCAAACTCCTACGAGAAGCCGGGCTTACACTGCGTCCTGATAAATGCAAGTTCCTAGCAACAAGTATCGATTATCTCGGACACCGCATAAACGAACACGGTATGTCACCAGGGTCGCACAAGGTGGCTGCGATTAAAAATTTTCACCAACGTAACCGAGGTAAGACGATTTTGAGGCCTCACGGGTTTTTTGTAGAAAATTCGTGAAGGCCTATTCCAATATATCGAAACCCATTACCATGTTATTGACCAAGGCGAATAAGGACAAATTTATCTTTTTTGTCCGATCAGTTCAAATTTATTTTATTTTATGTTTGTAGGCTAGTCTGATCTTTTCAGTTTTGGTGCGAATAAAACTACTTTATTCCACTTTTCACCCGACGTTTCGCTAAAACTTTTTTAGCATCCTCAGGGGTAGTGTTTATTTTATCTGTTACAACAAATATACAAAAATACAAAAAAACACACACATTAAGTATTAACCGAAAAAACAAAAAAGTATACACAAGGCCGTATTTAGAGGGGTGGTAGGTGTTCTGACCCCCCCTTCCGAAATGTAGAAATGTAGGATTTTAAAGCACTAAAAACTTGAAAAAAGGCAAATTGGGCTTTGGAAAAGGCAAAAAAAGGCATATTTTTTTAGTTTTGTTATGTACTTCCTTTATTTACAATGTGCATGTCCAATTGAAGATATTAAAAAATACATACAGTGGTGAAAAAATTATAGCCGAACCACTTTTTTCCAAGTTTTAAAGTATTATTTTCGTTGCTATTTAATTTTGGTTATTTTTTTTATAAAAATATAGTTAATTCTTTAACAAAACCCGTGTAAATCCGAGTTTCCAAATTTGTGCATTATTAAAAAAAAATCAAGAAACTTTCGTACAAATATCGAGCTATTTAAAAATTCCGAACCACTTTTTTCCAAGTTTTAAAGTATTATTTTCGTTGCTATTTAATTTTGGTTATTTTTTTATAAGAATATAGTTAATTCTTTAACAAAACCCGTGTAAATCCGAGTTTCCAAATTTGTGCATTATTAAAAAAAAATCAAGAAACTTTCGTACAAATATCGAGCTATTTAAAAATTCCGAACCACTTTTTTCCAAGTTTTAAAGTATTATTTTCGTTGCTATTTAATTTTGGTTATTTTTTTATAAGAATATAGTTAATTCTTTAACAAAAGCCGTGTAAATCCAAGTTATGTTATGATCAAAATTATCGGTAAGATTGGGAATGTATGTAACACTGAAGAATTTCTTTGCGCTTTTTGTTGTTTCTGAGTCCGATTGTGTGTTATGGTGGTTGCTATTTTTTATTATTTCCTGATTTATGAGTTCGTGTATTAATTTGACAGGATAATTATTGCTTTTCAGGATGTTGGTTATTTTCTCTATATTGGCGTCATGGAACTGTGTGTGGCTTATCGTCAGTACTTTGTGGATTAAGTTTTTTTCGGTGTTAATTTTATATTTTCTTGGTGTATTTGGACAGTTTATAACAGGGGACCATAATAGAAGAGACAATAGGACGGAGTGGAACTCCAGGCTTGTGTGTTTTAGGTAAGCCATAAATTCTGGGCGCCGTGGCTGCAGTGCAGGTGAGTTTTTGTTTTTCCCTGAAGTTTATGTTTATTTGGGGGCCGGAGCAGCAGCGTTTATTTGATACCCTTATCAATGTCCTAACGAATGAACCAGTCTTCGTCCTGTATGATTTCAACGCTGAGTATGAAGTCCATATTGTAGCAAGTAGCGTTGGCCTTGCAGGTCTACTTCTGCAATCCGTCGATGGCAGTGATTGGCGACCCGTGTGCTATTATAGTCGCCATTACACTGTCACAGAAAACCGATATCACAGTTACGAGCTTGAAGTCCTCGCTGTAGTGGAAACTCTGGAACGTTTTCGCGTCTACCTAATAGGAAAGCAGTTTCGCCTTGTTACTGACTGTTCCGCGGTCGCACACGTGAAAGATCATAAAGAGCTTAAGACCAAAATCGCACGTCGGTGGCTTAAGTTACTTGAGTACGATTTTGAGTGCATACATCGTTCAGGTAGCCGATTACAACTCGTAGATGCTTTGAGCCGAATATACATTCTCGGAGGTACAGTAAAATCACCCAATGAAAATTCCGTAAAAGCTGAGTATAAATTACATAATCATCGCTTATACCGCAAACAACCTAACGGTATAAAATTTGTAGTACCCAAAGGTGTACGCTGGCGCATGTTCAGTTTTGCCATGACCAGGTAGGAAATACCGTGCTGGAAAAAACGCTCGAACGTATTAAGCAATCGTATTGGTTTCCGAATATGAGAAGATACGTAAAAGGCTATATATGTAGCTTCTTGCGTAAAATGTTGCTACCAAACACAGCGTTCTGGTAAAAGCGAAGGCAGCCTCCACATTGACACGATTAAGCCGATTCCGTTCCATCGCATCCATTTGGCCCACTTAGGTCCCTTTGTCCGTAGCAAAAGAGGAAATTGTTACGTACTTACTATTTCCGACGCATTCAGTAAATTTCTTGTCGTTAAACCTGTTCGCGATACTAAAACTCTACATGTTCTTAAAGCTCTAAATGAAATGTCTTCGTATTTTGGCCTTCCGTCACAAGTCGTAACCGATAGAGGAACGTCTTTTACATCGAAGGCGTTTGAAGATTTTTGCAACGCATACAACATTCAACATACTAAAGTTGCCGTTCTCACTCCCCGTGCAAATGGGCAAGCTGAGCGCGCAAACCAAAGAATTGAAAAATTTTTACGAACAACTAAAGAGAACCCGAAGGATTGGGATGTCATGCTACGAAATCTGCAATGGTCAGTAAATTCACGTAAAAACGCCACGACAGGTTTCAGTCCAAACGAACTTGTCTTCGATTTTCAACTTCGTGACGTTGTCACGAATCAAATGCTTGCTGCTATACACGAAGATGTCAACGAAGAACAATCTAGAGCTACTGCTGCAGAAAAACGAATTCAAGCAGCAGTAAACATTTCCACTGAGCGCGAAAAGTGGAAACAACGCTTCGACCAACGTCATAAAGAAAATATACGCGGAAGAAGATCTCGTTGTGATCGAAAACGAACCAGCTTCTACGGGCGAATCCAGAAAGCTTGAGCCTAAATATCGCGGGCCATATATCGTCCGTAAGGTTCTGGGTAATGATCGCTACTTGTAGGAAGACATCCGAGGGTACCAAGTAACCAACACGAAATTTTGTTCCGTATACGCCTCCGACAAAATGAAGCCTTGGTGCAGTAATAGCCCTGAACTCGAATCTGACGACGAAATCGAGGACGATTCAGGCCAGGAAGAGCCGTGTTGTCAAGCCTAACAAATGCAACTATGTCAATAAAATGCGACTCTGACCAACCACTACTTTATCGACTTTTAAATACGTACGCTACCTGAAAAAATTGAACGAGCACGCGACAAGACAATTTCCATTCTAATTGTAATTCCGCACATTTTTTTCAATATAAGTCCTTTTTCATCTTAACTTAAAAACTAGTCGGTTGTGTATTTATTTTAAACGGACATCCTGATAAGTATAAGTCGCGGATAAGTGAACGATAGCGAAATCTACCTATCAACGTCAGTTGGCAATTCCGATTTCTTATAGAAATGGTTTTGTCTTTTTCTACCTCACACCTTTTCTACCAGAGCACAAGAACTTAAAAAAATTAAATATATGCGAGTTTTGGGAACAAATTAAATTAATTAAAAACGAACTGAACGTCCCGAGATTTGCCAACCTTTTTAAAATAGTTTAAGGTATATTGTCTATTCCACATTCGTTCGCAAATGTTGAACGTGTTATTTTATCTTCAGATTCTGATAAAAACCAAACGTAGAAATAGATTACAAGTAAAAACCCTCGGTTATTTAATAAAAGCAAAGGATCTTCTCAAAGTTTTTATCATGATATAAAGATACATAAAAACCAATTTTTTTATGCTGACGCCTCTATGTATTTTCTTCCATATAACAAAACATTCACTCATACCTTGTATGGAGAAAAATGCCTAGAGCCGTCAGCAAAAAAATTATTAAAAGTCAACGCGATTTCTCAGCTACTTCAAATTTGTACATTGTTATACTAAAATGGGCTATAAAACTGCATACCAGAAATTTTCGTAAAAAATCTGAGTAAAAAGCATACAATTTTGATGAAAATTCATTAAATTTTCCTTAATATTGTATACAGTTTGAAACCTTGATTTATATGGTTTTGTTTAAAGCATGAACCATATTTTTGTACAAAAATAACAAACAAATTATAGCTTGCAAAACATTGTGAATATTTAAAAAAAAAAAACATGAGTGAACACAGATAGAGTGCAGCGAGCATATATGTATATTTTNTCCTTAATATTGTATACAGTTTGAAACCTTGATTTATATGGTTTTGTTTAAAGCATGAACCATATTTTTGTACAAAAATAACAAACAAATTATAGCTTGCAAAACATTGTGAATATTTAAAAAAAAAAACATGAGTGAACACAGATAGAGTGCAGCGAGCATATATGTATATTTTTCAGGGACGTGAACCGGTTTTGAACCGGAAAACCGATTTTTTCTATTAATTAACTGAACCATTAACCGAACCGAAATTTTCCACAAATGTTTGATCCGAACCGAAAACCGAACCACTTTTCATAAAGGTTTAAAGGTTCGTTTAAACCAATTTTCAATAGATAAATTTACACGCTTTTGTTTCTTTTCGTTAAATATGGTAATACATACCATGTTTGTTTACCATGTGGCAATATCAAATGTAAAGTCAACTCATCTCATTTAACATACACATGAAATTTAACCTTGCGCGTTGTTGCACTTGACACTTTACAGCGAACCAAAACCCCGGTTCAAAGACTAAAAAAACCGCTTTGTCGAACCAATCCAAAAGTGCAAAAACGGTTCGAACCGCTGAACCGAACCGACCAAATTTTTCATCCGGTTCACGTCCCTAATATTTTTACTCGATGTTTATTCAAACTAAATGTATATTTGTTCTACACATCCATTGTTTTTGTGAAAGCGTTTAAGATTTCTTGTTGGTACATTTTTATTTGATTTGGTAAATTTTTTTCTGACGTTTGGTACAATTTCAAAAAATTCATTTATCATCCCTGTAATAAATACATGAATTATGTAAGAATACAATGACAAATTATTTATCAGAAACATTGTCTCTTACACACTGGAGAAAGTAATAAAAACTCTCAAAAAAGCAAAATCGTTGGAGCGAAAAAATGGTTTCAAAAACCGCATAAATTCAAATCCGCATAAAAAACCGCATAAAAAGAGACCTAAGTGTATGTACATAGTGAAGTACATAAATTTGCACCAACAAAAATTTATTTGAAAAGTGAAGCACAAATAATTCGAAACGAAATTGCGAATAAAATTATCCATATTTAATTAAAACGAGTTTTGTAATTAATCAATAAACAATTTACGCAAAAAAATAACATTTTAAGACTTTTACTATTTTCAAATTCGAAACGCTCTAGCTCCAACTCAAGCTGTCGCAGTTTAATTTATTTTTATTTTTATTCTTTTTTTCATTATAACTATTACCAATTTTAATTCGTTTACTCACATCTTTCGTTGTTCGCTAAAGTTTTAAATGTTGCTTTGATCATTTACATTTACATTTTTGTTTTTGTTTTGTTTCTTTTCTATTCCACTGGCTTTTACTTGATCGAAATATTTCCGATAAAAAAATTCCGATATTCGGAATGCAGAACATCAACAAGGCGGAATCGGAAATAATATCCGATTGTCGGAATGCAGAACACCAACAATCGGAAACACATTCCTTCTGCCAGGTTTGCAGATCGCATACCGTTTACTTAATAAAAGCAGGAATAAAAATAAAGTTTCAAAGCATCCCATTGCTCAACTATTCTTAATAGAGTCCGACCGATTAATCGCCATCGGCATCGGCATCGGCTAGTATCGGGACGAAATTGAGCATCGGCATCGGCCGATGCCGANTCAGGAGAGGCCGAGCTGTCATCATCTTGTATTTAGTCTACAGCATTGTATTCAACACTTGTATGAAATTAACTTTGAATGTTACACAATTGGGTCTGAGTATGTAGAGTATGGGTTGTTAAATGAAATGAAAATGAAAAATCATTATGGATTGAAAGGAAGTCAATCGGAAAAGATCTCTAGCGATACTACATACCAAAATTCTGATTAAAAAATTTGAAATTTTGGTGAAAATAAGCAGAATTTTTCTAATTTTTGTACAAAGTTTGAAATCTGAATTTATATGGTGTTTGTTGTATAGCAGCTAGACTTTTATAAAATAAAATAATAAACATTAAATAAAAAAGACAAAATCGGTCAAAATATCGCAATTCTTTTATTTTGTGGATCACTATATGTATGTACATACATACGTAGCATATAAGTTCTTATGCATTGAGTGCAAAAGAGTGTATTTTAGTACAAAACGAAATGAAATTTTATGTTCCTAAATATTTTTTGCTTAGCACCATATAAAAAAGTGTTTTATGTAATGTACATAAATGTGATATATGTACATATATTTTTACACATATATATGTATGTATGTAATGTTGCATAACAAGCCAATTAATCCAATTATTTCTTTTCTTTTGTTTTTTTTTTAACTCCGTGAAATGAACTGATTTTATGAATTAATACATTTATTTGTAATTTTTTATGGAATCGGCATCGGCATCAGTGTTGCCACTTGAGAATATCCAAACTACCAAAAAATTTTCCGATCATTAAAACGAAATTTCTTGAATTCACGGATTTTTTAGCTACACAAATTAGCAGTAAAAATTAAAATCTTTCTCCTAAGATAGGCAATTTATCGTTAAATTTCAACAGCTGATCAATCATGTCTTTGAAAAGGGAGAAAACTCATACTTGTGACAACTCTTACGTGTGAACAAAATTTAAAGCAATTTTTTAACGTGAAAACGCAGTAACCCAGTCAGCAGAGAAACGTAAATTTCACTGACAATTTTTTGTATTTAGAAACGCATTGAAAACGACTACAGTTTTCGTTCATTTTTGTATCTGGAAAACGTTCGAAAATGAGGACGTTATTTGAAAGCAATACCTGTATTTTTGTTTTTCAAGCGGCAGTGGCTGAGCGTGCAGAATAGCGTTCTTGTATTTGTTAGCTTTCAGAAGGTGGCGTGTTCGATGGCGTCAGGTACTTCCTTAATTTATTTATTTTTTCGAACTATGAAAAAGCATCTGTCAAGTGCAGAAGGAAAGCATTTTCAAAACATTTTTGCCTACCAAAAGCTTCATCAAACCAACCAAACTACCAAAGGAAACTGAAGCTACCAATTTTGGTCCAATTGGACCTGAACGGCAACGCTGATCGGCATCGGCATCGGCCGATTCTTTCCCCATAAGCCGATTAATCGGCATCGGCATCGGTACCTGAAAAAAGAATTGGAATCGGTCGGACTCTAATTCTTAACACAACGCTTTCTAATGAAAGCCATCGTGTTTGAGATATGCCCAAGATTTTGTGGGGTTTTACCGACTAGTAGTCCTGAAATTCCTTCAGGTCATGTATCCCCTTTGGGCTAAGGTAAAATAAACTATATATGTTGCGGCACAATTCTCAATGGTTTTCGTTATTTTCGGTGAGAGTTGGTGGGTTAAACTGTAGGCAAAAAGTTTACCACTCTTGATTTCAAAATGGCGGCCAATCTATAACTCGCAAAAATCGTAAAAGCTCCGTAATTTTACATAACGATAGATAAGATTATTAGAAAAATGTATTAAACTTGCATAGTTTTAAAATAATTTGCCCGTTTGCGAGAGTATAAATTACCAAATTCAGGATGCGAAGTGGTTGCTAAAATATATAAATTTCAACATCTATTTTGTACTTTCCTGGACAAAAAAGTCAATATAATCCATCGAGATTTTGTGTGCTTTGTTGGAAATTTACTGTGCGATCTCGTGCTGAGCTCAAATTTTCTAGCCCGTACCCGTGCCAATCCCTAATTCTCATCCTTTACGAGAACTTTAAGGGCCAGTTTCTCTCTGCTAGTTTAAACTTAGATCACGTACACCCAAAAAAATTTGTGGGTTAAACTAAA